AACGTCAAATCTTCACCAAGGCCAGACTGGTAGAAAAAACCAGGGAAGTCCCCAAATAGGAGTTCCATCACAGAGGGAGAAAGGAAAAAGGAAAGAGGGGGAGGGGGAGGGGATCAAGTTGATTCCAAGCCAAAGGCCAGGCGGAACAACTCTGTCTTGCAGGCCCTGTGGAAAGAAATCAGATCCCGCAGGGTCCTGGTCTCATGAGACAGAGAGTTCCACCAAGTTGGGGCCAGTACTGAAAAGGCTCTGGTTGAGGCTAATCTGACTTCCTTAGGGCCCGGGACTACTAGGGTGTTGCTATTTATGGACCTAAAGGTCCTCCGTGGGGCAGACCAGGAGAGGCGGTCCCGTAGATACAAGGGTCCTAGGCCATGAAGGGCTTTAAAGGTCAAAACCAGCACCTTAAACCTGACCCTGTACTCCACCGGGAGCCAGTGCAACTGGTAAAGCACTGGATGAATATGCTCCCATGGCAGAGACCCCGTAAGGAGTCTCGCTGCGGCATTCTGCACCCGCTGGAGTTTCTGGGTCAGCTTCAAGGGCAGCCCCACGTAGAGTGAGTTACAGTAGTCAAGCCTGGAGGCGACCGTCAGACAAATTTGTGCAGGAAAGGGTTATCCATGGCTCCTTGGGACTTCCTAATGCGATTCTGCTTTTTTTGTTCCTCGTTTCCTCTCTTCGCTAGGCTTCCCGTATCAGTTCTCTCCGGTTCCTCTCCACCTCCGCCCCTCGGACATTGAAAAACAAGGTCCCAGAATACCAGAAGCTCTTCCAGGTGAGAGATTTGGCTGTGTCCAGAAAGCAGCTGTTTATGGTAGCAACAGCTTTGCTCAACCAGACATGGCAGGAGGGAGGGAGGGGGAAAGAGAGAGAAGAGGGAGGGGGGAAGAAGAAGGGTCTAGGCTGGTCACAGGTGTCCTACTTTTCAAAGGATGGTTCTCTCTCTAATGGTCAGGGGTCCCTTAGCTTGATATGCTATATGGCAGGCACGTCCAACGGGTAGATCAAGATCTACTGGTAGATCACTGAACGTCTGTGGTAGATCACTGGCTCCCCCCCCCAAAGTAGCTCAACCACTATGCCCTGCACCCCTCAAAACGGGGCTTTCCTCCTCCCTAAAAAAACTCAAAAACTCTTAACTGAACCCCTCAAAACAGGGCTTCCCTCTTCCCTAAAAAAAGACCGGAATCCCAAAAAACAGGGTTTTCCTTTCTAATAAAAGCTCAACAACTTTGATCAGAACCCCCCAAAAGTGGGTAGATCACTGCCAGTTTTTAATTCTGTGAGTAGGTCGCAGTCTCTTGGGAGTTGGCCACCCTGCTATATGGTAATTTATGGACCTAATAGGTATCTAAAACCATTTGCCCTGCAACCAGTCCATGCAGAATGTAGGCACCCTATAGATAGAAAGGAGCAAAGCAAGGATATTTTAGGGAGCAGGCTAGCAGGGCCCATGACTTACATCATAGGAGCCTACACAACACAAAACACGGTTGCTGTATGTAGGTTTTATTTCATTTGTTTGTTATCTTATATTTTAGAAATGTACATCCAGTTCTTTTTCCCCTTTAATTTTTTTTGGGGGGCCCCCAAGAGAGTGGGGCCCTAGGCTAGAGCTTGTTTAGCCTATACGTAAATCCGGCACCTGTTGTGTTGTTGGAGGGGATCCCAGGGGTCATGCAGCCCAACCCCCAGGAATGCAAAGTTCAAAGAGGGTTGCCTTGAAGTTGCTCATCCAGAGCGAGCAGCGCCCAGTGCGCCCACTGAGCATGATGCACACATATTGAAGTGGACTGGGGGGAGGGCAGGTGACTAGATGACCTTTGGGGTCCCCTCCAGTGAAATGGGGCTAACTCCTTGCCTCTCCGCAGGAGGACAACGGGCTGCCTGTGCATCTCAAAGGAGGCACCATCGATGCCATGATGTACCGTGGAACCATGATCCTCAGTGTCTTTGGTAAGTGATATCTCCGCTCTTCATTCATTTCCAGATTGTTCAGAGGTGCTCTCCTCCTTTAATTTATTTATTTAACTAAAAATATAGTTACTGTTATAATGGGTTGTGTTGGGTTATTTAGAAAAAGAAATCTGTGTTGGGTTGTTTTTTTTTAAAAAAAGAAATCTTTCCCCTCGCTTGCGTGGAAACAGATCGTTTGTGCTTGGAATTTGGGATCTGTGGCCTACGAAATGACCTGAAGTTCAGTATGTATAGCAAATGCAGAACACAGATGAAACACCACAATGAACCAAATTCTCTCTTTCACTCTTGCTGTCAAAAATAGAAGCCTTCTTGCTTCTCGTTGCGGCGAGACAAAACGGAGAAACGAAACAAAACAAAGTGAGAGCAGATGGGCTTGTGTTGTGTTTTTTTCCCCTGTCCATAAATATTTCCTTTTCAAACTGCAGCCAAGCTCAGGGAGCAGATTGTGTCTTTCTTTGGCCTGAGAATGATAACGGTGAGAGAAATCTTCCGAATCTTTTTGCGGCCATTCTGTCCCGTTCCTTGGTGGGTTTGGGGGCCAGCAACTTATTGCCCCTTCCTCTTGGACGAACGGAGCTACAGGCTCACAGACAAACAGAGACACTGGTTTGGATAACCCTTGGTTGACTTTATTCGGAGGGATACATTGGGAAGGAATGCAATGCACAAGTTTCTGATTTCCATGCTGCCGCCACCATCCCACCCCACCCAGGTTAGAATCCAGAAGTCACCTTCGGGTTACATTTCAAAATGACATCTCCATAGACTTAGACATTATACCGTATTTTTTGCTCTATAAGACTCACTTTTTCCCTCCTAAAAAGTAAGGGGGAATGTGTGTGCTTCTTACGGAGCGAATGCAGGTTGCGCAGCTATCCCAGAAGCCTTCCTCCTCCAAAAACTAGGTGCATCTTATGGTCTGGTGCGTCTTATAGAGCGAAAAATACGGTGTTTGGTACCCAGAGCTGCAACAAGCAGCAATGACCTTCAGTTACGCAGTGGAACATCCCTTTCCACAGCCATCGTTTTCACACACGCACCCCAAAAATCTGGTCCATGTTACAGATTGTGTCACCTTAAACCTCGTTTAAACACCCTTCAGCTGGCTCTTACAGAGTTCAGAAAACAAACCTTTAAAAACAAAAACCAGGCCAAGCAATTCCCAGTTCTAACTTGATCAGAGAAAGCCTTATTATCCGAGCAAAACCCAACTGCAGGGGTCAGCAAACTTTTTCAGCAGGGGACCGGTTTCAGCAGGGGGGCGGACTATATTTGGGGGGGGGGGAGAATGAATTAATTCCTATGCCCCACAAATAACCCAGAGATGCATTTTAAATAATAGGACACATTCTACTCATGTCAAAACACGCTGATTCCCGGACCGTCCGCAGGCCGGATTTAGAAGGCGATTGGGCCGGATCCGGCCCCAGGGCCTTAGTTTGCCTACCCATGGAATAAGTTTCCTTGCAAAGCAAGCAGTTTCTGGAGGGTTGCTTCCATGCTAAAACCTGTTTGGCTGTTAGCAGGAACTGGTATTAAACTGGACATTGCATCACCCAGTAGCTCCTTCCTCACCGCCTCTGTGCAGTAATATATAATGTTTCTTCTCACGTCAATCCCTTCAGCAGCTTACCCCCCTACAACATTAATTAATAGCTTCCTTCTTTCAGTTCCATTGTGTTTTATTTCTTCCTGTTCAGCATAGCTAAAGAGCAGCCATTGACTGTCCCTTAACCAACTTCTGTTTCCCATTTTTTTCATACAATGTGAAATGACTACCCAGTGATATTTTCCTGGATTTATCATTGTTGCTTTAATATTTACCGGAATATCAGAGATCTTATGTTATCAGGGAGTATGCAAATGTCGTAAATAAAGGGGAACGAAGGATAGCAATTTCAGGAATAAGGGCTGGCGTGAAACCAACAATGCTTCGAGCCCTGCCAAATTTTTTGATAAGTGACATGGAGCTATTTTCCCCCCTCAGGTGTCGGCCTCACACTCTTTGTCCTCTTCCAAGCTGCTTCGCCGAAGAAGAACAAATGAGAATAAAGCTTTAAGGGGGGGGAGACTTGGAAGCCCCCCCGCCAACCACCCATACCTGTTCCATCCCTCAGAGTGAGAGAGAGAAGGACGGTCGCCTTGTTTTCTGGGGCGGAAGAATTACCAAACCTGTCAATTCTTAGGAACTTTTCTTCAGGATGGCAACGAACAAATGAAGTTGTTCGGAGACATAAACAAGTGAATGAATAAAATAAATTGAAAGAAAGATTTGCCCCTTTTTTAAAAAAAAACAACAACCTCCATTTTTAAAAGCAGACAGACGTCCCACTTACGCCACAAATTTTAAAGGCGGTTAACAAAACTAGAATATCAAAATTCACACACATGCCTGTATAAGCCTAAGAGGCTGCCTCGAGGCTTTTTTGTCCACAACAGGCCTTGCGGCAAGAGGGTGCCGTCCAGCGGTTTTTGACTACATCTCCCATCAGCCCCCAGCCAATATGTAGTCCAAAACAGCTAGATGGCACCAATTTGACTGATGCTTATATTTTGGAAATGTACATCCACTTTTTGATGTACTGGTGTTGCTTGACTCTGGCCGGCAGCAGCTCTGCAAGGTCTCAAGGGAAGAACGTCAGAAGATACCAGCGTCCTCTTTCTTTCTTTCTTTCTTTCTTTCTCCCCGCCCCCCCCCAATATTTTTTATTGGATTTTAATAACGGCAAATGAGTTACAGGGGGGGGAAAGATATCACCTCTTCACCATTTTGGTCTAATTTTATTTCACATACAAGGAGCGCTAGGTACCATCGGTCGATACGAGCTGCATTTTCCAGGAGACCTCAGAGTAGGGGGGGCAGAGGGGTCGGTGGAGATCTGGTGCGGTTGGAGGGTGTGTAATGAAAACTATACGGGTTTTTATTTAATTAGGAAAGGTGGGGCTTCTCAAAACTGATTTTTTTTTAATTAACTCCAATTATATCATGTCTCTTTAAAAAAGAAGAAGAAGCCTGGTTTAAACCGAAATCAGAATTTAATAAAGATGCTCTGTTTACAGTCTCGTACGATGGGATTGTCACAGCCATTCATCCCGCAGTTAAAGCTTGGTTTTGGTTTGGTCTGCATGCACAAACGCGGAGAGAAACATCTGGCTTCTGAGGTTATCAGGAACAAAGAAAGCAGCCTTAAACCCAGTCACTTGGTTGGTCCACCTAGCTCAGTATAGTCTACACTGGCTGGCAGCAGTGTAGCTACAGACATGAGTTTCTCCCGACCCTCCCTGGAGATTCTGCCAGTGGGAACAGAACTTGGGAGTTCCTTCACGCAAAGCAGGTGGCCTACCCCGATCTGTGGCCCTTCCCCTAAAAATAAACTAAGATCCTAGTCCTCATGGTTGTGAATCAAGGGGTGCCATAGGGAGCTGCCTTGCGCCAAGTCATATCATTGAACCTGGGGTCAATGCTTGCAGATGCTCTACCACCCAGCTACAACCCTTCCCCCAACCGAATTTGTCATAATAAATAATGAATTGTACTTATTATTGTGGGCTTTGTCCTGGACCAGTCCTGGGTGCCAAGACCAAGGAGGTGCCATCTCCAGACTCACACCAAGATCACACGCTGAGCCTGTTCAGGGCATCTTGCGCCTCTGTTTTACGTCGTCACCTTCCAACCTGTCACCTAAACCTTGCGATGTGTTGTTCTCAAGTTACGACTCTCCAAACTAAACAGGCTGGACGTTTGCATCCCATCTATGGAGAACCACTTCTTTACCCAGTGAGAGCCGATCCTTGCTTATTGGAAAATGTTGCACGGGAGCAGCCCAATCGTGTGTGTATGTGTGCGCGTGTGTGCATGAGAGAAAGTTTAGCAGGAAGCAACTCCCACATTGATCAAAAGGACTTACTTTCAAATAGGACAGCAGCCATAGCCTTCCAATAAGTGGTCTTGCTCAGTGTCCCTGGGTATGTACAGAAAACAGTCTCTTGTGCAAACAGGTGTAACACTTCTGCAAATGGATCCAGGAGGATCGTGTCCCTCGTGTGTACAAAGGCGCTATTTCCCTACAATCCACTGCTCCTTTTCTAGTTACTCGCATGCAAGCTTACTCAGGAAGTGGAGGCGTCTCAAAATGGGGAACGTGATTTGGAACTGCCTTGATTTGAAACCAATCCAAATTCAGGTGGATGAAGCCGTTTCTTTTAGGGGTGGGGTGGGGAGGATAAAAGGCGGTGGGCGGGGCGGCTCAGGCATTTTTCAGCATCTTGGTAGTCTGGTTGTTGGCCGCGTTGATGCTAATCACGTTGGCGATGGCCTGCGGAGAAAAGAAGGAAGTGAGAAAACAGAGGCAGAGGCTGTTTCAAGCAGCAGGCTTGAAACTACACCTCCCATCACGCTGGCTGCTGAGCCTGATGGAAGTTGTAGTCCAGAGCACGTGGAGAGCTCCAGGCACAATTCAAAGTGTTGGTGCTGACCCTAAAAGCCCTAAACGGCCTCAAAGGCCCAGTATACCTGAAGGAGCGTCTCCACCCCCATCGTTCAGCCCAGACACTGAGGTCCATCTCCGAGGGCTTTCTGGCGGTTCCCTCGCTGCAAGAAGCGAGGTTACAGGGAACCAGGCAGAGGGCCTTCTCGGTGGTGGCACCTGCCCTCTGGAACGCCCTCCCATCAGATGTCAAAGAAAACAACAACTACCAGACTTTTAGAAGACATCTGAAGGCAGCCCTGTTTAGGGAAGCTTTTAATATCTGAAGGACGATTGTATTTTAATATTTTGTTGGAAGCTACCCAGAGTGGCTGGGGAAACCCAGCCAGATGGGCGGGGTACAAATAATAAATTACTATATATATATTATTCTTATTAAAGGCTGCCTTAAGGGAATCACATGTTGTGTGAAGAGTTTTCCCTCACCTGTACTAACACTACCACAACGTGTTCCAACCCCCCTGACCATTTCATCCTTTACTGAACCTTTCCAAGCTCTGTATCACCCCTTTTGTTCATTTTTTTAAAAAATTCTGGGGCAACCAAAACGGTACACAGGATTCCATACGAAGGTGTTAACTAGAATGATCTTTCCAAAGGAAGTAAAGTCACAGATCCTCCCGCTGGTGGATCCAGAAATAGTCAGAGTGGGATGTAACATAAGCAGTCAAGTACAACACTCCCTGTTTGCCCAGAGTGGACACACACAGGGGGGTGTTACTGCAGCCAGGAGGACTTCCTGTCACACCTGGTCTGGAGCATCCAGGTGGATGGGCATGACCCTGTGAGACCCTGTAAACGGGCCAGTCATGCAGCCATCTCTCTCTCTCAACCCTGACGCTTTTGCTGCTTTCTTCTGATACTGGTGTCTTTTGCTGTCTGCTGGCTCTCAGCCAGCCGCACATGGGCTCAGTCCCCATATGGGGTGAACTCAAACCCTTTTCCGTAACTACAAGCGAAAGCCTGCCTTTAAGGAACCTACTGTGAACTCAATGTAAGTAAACTTCTTGTTATTCTTAACAGAAGACTGTTGTTTCTTTATTATTTTAAAGAGGGAACAAAGGGGGAATTTACCAGGAATAATCCAATCCGGACAAGCCAGACTGGATTGCTTAAGTAAAGAGATTCAAACGAATCTGTCAACTAGCTTCTTGCAATATACTGGGGAATGCACTCTGCTACTGACTCACAAGCATGAGTGAGGAAGGATAATAAATAATAATAATAATAATAATAATAATAATAATAATAATTTATACCCCGCCCATCTGGCTGGGCTTCCCCAGCCACTCTGGGCGGCTTCCAACAAAATATTAAAATACCATAATACATCAAACATTAAAAGCTTCCCTAAACAGGGCTGCCTTCAAATGTCTTCTAAAAGTTTGGTAGCTGTTGTTCTCTTTGACATCTGGTGGGAGGGCGTTCCACAGGGCGGGCGCCACCACCGAGAAGGCCCTCTGTTTGGTTCCCTGTAGCTTGGCTTCTTGCAGCGAGGGAAGGGCCAGAAAGCCCTCGGCGCTGGACCTCAGCGTCCGGGTAGAACGATGGGGCAGGAGACGCTCCTTCAGATATACTTCAGATACACTTAATCAATATATCCTCTCCTACATCCACAACATTCCCACAGAGTGGCGCACTCAAAATATGTGCATATACAAACCCTCCCTAACATGGTGCCTTCCAGTTGTGCATCTTGGGTGTAGAATTCGGAATTTTCAACTTTTTATTTTAAAAAAATCACGTTATGTGCTACTGCGTATGTTCTCTGCCCTGGCCCATCCTGTGAGGTGCGGGGGGGGGAGCATCGCTCACCTTTTCCTTAATGCTGTCCACTTGCTTGGTCTGGACGTCGATTTCGTTGCTCATGTCCACCGCCATGCTGCGAAGGTTGCTCAGCATGCTGTCCACCTGCGTCAGGTTCTGTTCCATCTCTTCTTCCACGTCGTCTTTCGTTATCCTGAGCAAAAGGCACAAAGAAGGTAAGAGCCTCGGTGTTGGATCAGGCCAGAGGCTCCTCGTACTCCGTCATCCTTTCCTTGCAGTGGCCAAGAAAAAGTTCGACAACTAAGTTTTATGATGACGATGGCTATTTTCTTGTTGTTATTATTAGGGCTGTGTTTTGTTGTAACCATCATGGTCATATCAACCACAGAATAAAAATGGAATACGCTAAGAATACTTTGCAAGACCCATGCTCCTAATTCCTCTTTGTACCCAGCTAGGAAGTAATTATACAAACTTATTTTAAAAGTCCAGTTACGTTAGGGCTCAGAGGAATGAGCTACTAATTAAAGTACTCAAAGCCTCTCAAAGTAAAGAGACACAAAGATTTCGGAAGCTTATCAATAATACTTCTTTTAAAAGCATCAACCAAGACACAGCTCCACATTTACCAAGAATTATAATCTACAGGCTAAAAATGTTAAAATACAAAAGGATGAAGGAACTCATACATTGAAATTGTCCGATTAAATATTTAAATCACCTGATTAAATCTTGGCTAATCACCATATTATTACTACTACCGTGGATTTATTACTTGCCTTTAGGCATAAGAGAATTAAAAGCACAAAACAGGACTAAAACCCTAAGAAGTGGGACGCTTGTCATATCAACCCATTTATCCAGCTGGAAGAAAAACGCCTTTTGACCGTTTCTGGAAAGGGCAGAGAGCGGCTGCCTATCTCAAGCGGAATGCTATTCCACAGAATGGGGCAGCCACAGAAAAGGCCCTGCTTTTGACTGAGGTGGCTTCTGACACCTTTGGCGCTTGCAGGAGAAATCCTCCTGGAGGCTGCCGAGATCTCCTGGTTGTGCGAGGTGGCCTTGGAAGAGAAGATCTCCCCACTCCTTACCTCTGTATGAAGGGCCCACTCATGACCATCTGGTTTCCATCGGCCACCACACAGGGTTGTCGAGAGACCACCTGGCCGTTGCTGGCCTTGGTGGCCTCCAAGTCTTTTATGTTCTTTAACCTACGTTTGAAAAGAAAAGATGTTCAGGCAGGAGTTCAACCTGCAACATACTTTGCTCTGATCCAAAACAAAAAGAGAGAGGCGTCCCTGGCGCTTACACGGCCAGGGGACTTACTTTGCGCAGGGGCAGACGAAGAGGCCGCAACATTTCGCCATGTCCGTGAGGTTCTTCTCGGCCTCCTTCATGTCTTGGATGATCTGGTCCAAGCCATCCTCAATCCGGTCCAGCTGTTCTGAGGAAGTGGGAAGGGAAGGGGAGACAGCGGAGACACTCAGGAACCTACAAACATTATGCACGGCCCTCTCCGAACACGCAGGCTGAGTCTCACAGGTATTGCAAGATTGTGGAGAGGAGCGGCCAGTTTCTCATGCTCCCTTGAGGTGTGTTGGCTGGTTTTCAAATCCCCCCTCCAATAGCAACAGAGCCGAGGCCTAGTGGTTAGGGTTGCCATACGTCTGGGAAATCCCGGACACGTCCTCTTTTGCTGGGCAACCTTGCCATCCAAGAGGATTTTTTCATTTCCAAACAAAACTCTGGGTTTCTGGTTTTGTTTTTTAAAGTGTGCAAGCGGCTCGGGGCGTGTGAGCAAGCTACTGTGCCGACAACTTTGGGGCTCAGCGACTGTCCGAATTTTTACTTCCTGAAATATGGCAACCCTGTTTCAGGTCCTAGCGTGCCAGACCGAGACCTGGAGAGACCAGGTTTCGAATTCCCCACCAGTGGCGACCTTGAGCCGGTCCTACCTCACAGGGTTGTTGTGGGAATTGAACAAGGACGGAGAGAACCACATGCACCAACTTGAGCTCCTTGGGGGAAAGCTGGGGTGTGAGTGCGAGAAATGAAGGAATTAAATAAATGAGGGCAGCCTGCCAACCTAAGCCTGCCCTCAGCTAGCCCCTCAGCTGCTTGCCTTCCTACTTACTACTGTTAATGGAGAAATCTGAGGGCTCCCTTGGACAAAAAGACAAGGACACCAGCCAGGAATCCCAGAGCAAAACAGCAGCCAGTCGGCTTGGTCTTGATTGAAGACTGTCGCGACAGGACTTCCACCTGCCACCAGGTGGAACAAGATGGAAGCCCCAAACAAAAGAGCCCCCAAACTTTTATTAGCTGCTAATCCCCATGCTACACCCCCCCCGAACTACATCACTCATACATCACAGTTACATCATGAAAGGGGAGGTCTGGTGGCCGTAATCTGAGCATCCTGGACCCTGCCCCTTGGTTCTCCTTGCCCTCCACCAAACACCCATCAAGTGTAACAAAAAAGTTATTTACATTTCCCTGTTTCCCAGCCAAGTTAACCACACCCTTTGGTCTTCATCTGGGTTTGCTATTTCTGGAATGGCTACCTGTCTGGCACTCAGGTATCTGGATGCCAGGGATTATCCCTCAGGCAGAGGGGCTGCTGAGGAGCTGAGCTCACATGTCTATAGGAATTTCTGAAGTTTTCCCTGTGAGCCAGTATATAGATACAGTGATCAGTGAATTGTTACATTTGGTAAGGTAAAGGTTAAGGTACCCCTGCCCGTACAGGCCAGTCTTGACAGACTCTAGGGTTGTGCGCCCATCTCACTTAAGAGGCCGGGGGCCAGCGCTGTCCGGAGACACTTCCGGGTCACGTGGCCAGCGTGACATCGCTGCTCTGGTGAGCCAGCACCAGCGCAGCACACGGAAACGCCGTTTACCTTCCCGCTAGTAAGCGGTCCCTATTTATCTACTTGCACCCGGGGGTGCTTTCGAACTGCTAGGTTGGCAGGCGCTGGGACCGAGCAACGGGAGCGCACCCCGCCGCGGGGATTCGAACCGCCGACCTCTCGATCGGCAAGCCCTAGGCGCTGAGGCTTTTACCCACAGCGCCACCCGTGTCCCGTTACATTTGGTATCGTGCAGCAGAGGCCCTTGGAATAGATAGGAAGAAACTGTGATGAAGTGTTTTGTTGGGACAAAGCACAAAGGTCACAAAAGTGATTGTGCTGATTTTGGTAGTGGGCTGCATTTGCAGGATATCTGCTAGAGGGGCAACCCCCCCCCCAAACCTAGACATAAATTCCTGAAACACTAGCACTAGGGGGTGGCCCTGTCATTCAGATTCCTCCTGTTCCTCAATCTGAGTGCTGCCTCTTGTAGAACGAGGATGGGGATAGAGAGAACTAGAATTAGCTGCCTCTGCCTGTTGTTGACTCTGGCGCCCCCTACTGCTGGCCTCCCTGCCTTCTACCCAACCAGTCCCCAGTGACCGAAAGCAAACTAGCATTTCTCCTCAAGGTGCATATTTTCTGCTTGCAAGAATTACCACATTTTTCACTCCATAAGACGCACTTTTTTCCTACTAAAAAGTCAGGGGAAAGGTCTGCGCGTCTTATGGAGCAAATGTGTGGTCAATCGCTGGCTCCCTTTCTGGCCCTGCCCCCTCACCCAGGCCTCTATTGTTGAATGTTCTGCAAGTAACTGGCTGATTAGATTATCTGTCTAGAAACTGTAGAAACGGTTCCCTTCCTTTCCTAAAGAAGCTGCAGAACTGTGAGTTGAACCCCATAAAAACAGGATTTTTTCCCTTTGCAAAAGAAGCCGCACAACTTTGAGCTGATCCTCAAAAAACAGGGCTTTCCCCCTTTCCCCCTCTAAAAACTAGGTGCGTATTATGGTCAGGTGCGTCTTATGGATCGAAAAATACAGTATTTTCTATCCCGTGGAGCCGCACTCAAAAAGAGTATTGCCATCCCACTTTCTGAAGTGGTACCCGTTCATTCTGGCACCTTATTCTGCTGCTGTGTGCATTCAAGGGGGTTTTAAGACTGGTCAGCCAACCCACAGAGGGCTTTAATTATAGCAACTGCAAGCGCAGAACCAGAACACAGCTAACACCTCCGTGGTCTGCAAGCGATCTGCCGTGAAGCCAGAGGCCTTACCTCCCTGGTCATCCAGCATGACCAAAGTTCGAATTCCGGCATCTTTGCTCTGTTGGGAAGGAGAGATGGGGAGAGAGGAGAAGAACGTTAAACGTCTCTGGGATTCTGCAAGATTTCTGGGGCCTGATGTTGCTCAAGGGATCGAACGCAACGAAGGGCACATTCACACCAGGTTTCTAGTCCCCATGCATGCGGCCAAAAGGAAAAACAGCCACAACTTGAGAATTCTCTGCAAAGGGCTTGCAAAGCAGAATGGACTGGTTGCTAAAGAACGTCATCCCATCATCCTCTGGTCACTTTCGCAACACACATTTAATAATAATAATAATAATAATAATAATAATAATAATAATAATAATTTATTACTTATACCCCGCCCATCTGGCTGGGTTTCCCCAGCCACTCTGGGCGGCTTCCAACAAAGATGAAAAATACATTTAAAGCGCTATGGGACCTATTTAAACTGCCCAGGCTTCACTTATGTATTCAGTGGTCTGGGTTTGCCTGAGCTGCAGTCTGGACTAAGGATCCTGCGCTCCTGTGTTCTGATTCGATACATGATATCCAATCACAGAAAGCCTCTGCCATTGGCCTTTAAACTCTGAGTCACGATTCGCAGCTTGGAAGTTTAGTCAGCCAATCACATTGGGAGTGGGAGTGGCCCAGGCCTCCAGAAACGTATATAAGCAGTTGCTTTCTCCCTGTCGTCCAGTTCTGTTAGTTCCATAAAGGTTCTTGCTGTTATGGCTGTGTCTTCACTCGTGGGAAGCTTCCCCCAAAGAATCCTGGGATCTGTAGTTGCATAAGGGTGCGGAGAGCTGTTGAGTTCCCTGTGAAGAGGGGCTGTTTCTTACCTCATCTACCAGCTGCAACATCCTCCTGGTGCTCTCCAAAGCCTAAAAAAGAGCAGGAAATTAAATATTATTGATTTATAGATTCATAGCATTCCTCACGTTGCAAGGCAGAAATCACAGCTCTGGGAAGCTCTGAAGGTGGTGCTGATGGGAGTTGTAGCGCAGCGCCTCTCGAGGGCACCAGGTTAGCAAAAACTGCTTTTGTCCTTTTAAAAGCCGCCTCAGTCAGAAGCCAACACAACCCCTAATGGAGGCTGTAAGTTCTATAAGTTAATTATGCACTCTGTGAAGAAATTACTTTCTCAAGCCTGTCTCAAGCCAGCCAGACTTTTTACTGGATTATTCACTGAGTAACCCCAATAAAACTGCACATCCTTTCTTGCCACCAACACCCACCCACCCTGGGACGAAACAAAACATCATTTGGCAGTGCAACGCACGCTCAAGCAAATTAGATCCATAGTTCGAATCTGTCTCATTTGCATAAGTATTCTTGTAGCCGTTTTGCAAGAACGAGAATTGTTCTTCAGAACAAAGCCAACTTCCTTGTAATTATATCTCTGGCATGTTTGGGCAGGAATGCCAAGCTGGGGTTGTGGGGTGAGGGGGGGGGGGCAGAAGGTTCTCCAGACTGTAAACTGGGACACAGTCATGCTTCTGCTAAAGTAAACTGGGAGCAATTTAAGGCTGGAGGAGGCCATTTCTTCCAGAAGAGGAAGCTACTAACTAAAGGTGCAATAGCCCCGCCAAGTCTTAACAGTCCTTTGCAAGTCCACACAGATCTTATGCATAAACTAATTAGATAATGAACTGATCCACTGGGTCTTCTACCTTTTTCATTGAACTTTATGAGCTATTTCTGTTGAAATCTACAATACTATAAATAGTACCGTATTTTTTGCTCTATAAGACTCACTTTTTCCCTCCTAAAAAGTAAGGGGAAATGTGTGTGCGTCTTATGGAGCGAATGCAGGCTGCGCAGCTATCCCAGAAGCCAGAACAGCAAGAGGGATTGCTGCTTTCGCTGCGCAGCGATCCCTCTTGCTGTTCTGGCTTCTGAGATTCAGAATATGTTTTTTTCTTGTTTTCCTCTTCCCAAAACTAGGTGCGTCTTGTGGTCTGGTGCGTCTTATAGAGCGAAAAATACGGTATATTTTATTTTTTCAAATGTACAGCCGGTTACGTCTTGTGTGTTTATTATAGTCCACACAGAGCAGCTGAGCGCAGCAACTGCATTTTATGTGCTGGGATGGTTGTGAGGGCAAATCGCCACAGATCAGAAAGGATGTGGGAGGACAAGGTGGAAGATATTAGAAGGCAACAGGCTGGCAACGACGCCAGCTGGATTCGCCGCAAATCATCAGTGCACAAAGGGTATCATTTCCTGGCAGGAGAAATAGTGTTGAGTCGACCCAGGCGAGACTGGGAATAATCTGGTTCTGGGTTGAAATCAGCTCATAGGAGGAGGGTTGCCTTCCTAAGTTCCTTTCTTCCCACCCCTCTGGGAAATACCAGCAGCACTTTTTTAAGGAAAAGGGGGATCTGGCTGGTAGAGGCAAAAAAAAAAAAGAATTTTCCCGACCTCATTGTTGACCTGGTGGATGCGCTGTTCAAGGTCTTCCGACTCCGAACCCACAACGCCATTGGCCGCCATCTTGGGATCTTTGGGGAAAGAACCAAGGGGGACGTTTTTCCTTGTATGGATAAATCCACGGTCTCCTACAGAAAAAGACAGAATAATAATAATAATAATAATAATAATAATAATAATAATAATAATTTACACCCCACCCTCCCTGGCCAGAGCCAGGCTCAGGGTAGCGAACACCAGTAAAAATTACAGTAAAAACATAATGGGGGGGGGGAGAAAAAACAGGTTAAAATGCAATTTAAAATGCAGCCTCATTTTAATAGTAGCCCATAGATCACATAAGGGACGTGGGTGTCGCTGTGGGTTAAACCACAGAGCCTAGGACTTGCCGATCAGAAGGCTGGTGGTTCGAATCCTAGCGACGGGGTGAGCTCCTGTTGCTCAGTCCCTGCTCTTGCCAACCTAGCAGTTTGAAAGCACATCAAGTAGATAAATGGGTACCGCTCCGGTGGGAAGGTGAATGGCGTTTCCGTGCGCTGCTCTGGTTCGCCAGAAGCGGCTTAGTCCTGCTGGCCACATGACCCGGAAGCGGTACGCCGGCTCCCTCGGCCAATAAAGCGAGATGAGCGCTGCAACCCCAGAGTCGGTCACGACTGGACCTAATGGTCAGGGGTCCCTTTACCTTTATAGATCACATAAAGGGGGGGAAACATAGGGTCCTACTGAGTCCAAGCCAAAGGCCAGGCGGAACAGCTCTGTCTTACAGACCCTGCAGAAAGAAATTGGATCCCGCAGGGCCCTGGTCTCTTGTGAAAGAGCGTTCCACCAGACTGGGGCCAGTGTTGAAAAGGCCCTGGTTCTGGTTGAGGCTAATCTGACTTCCTTTCCTCTTCAAAGAGAAGGAAACACCCGGTTTGAGAGATCACAGGTGCCCAGTCATGTATCGTTTCACATAGTGGTCACCCCACAAGCCGGAAGGAACCCCCACAATCCTTTCCAAATAGCAAAGCATTCTGGGGCTAACCCACAATCCTCTGGGGCATGACTCCGAGTGATCAAACAGCAGAGTCCCAGAAGCCTCTGCTGGGGACTGGTGAGCATGTCGATTCCAGGTTCTCTCTTTTCCTGACATTAAACCAGCCTTCCTCTACCTCTGCCCTCCAGAGGTTTTGGGACTACAACTCCCATGATCCCTAGCTAGCAGGACCAGTGGTCAGGGATGATGGTAGTCTCAAAACATGTGGAGGGCTGAATTTGAGGAAGCCTGTGTTAAACTGAGTTCTCCCCATATCCACCTCAGTCTGCAAATGCATTCATCTTCACCACCATCCCTAGCCACCTTCAGGAATCTGAACAAGCAGACCCTTCATAGAATCTTAGAGTTGGAAGGGACCCAAAGGTCATCTAGCCCAACCCCCTGAAATGCAGGAATCTCAGTTAAAGCATCCATGACAGATAGCTGTCTAACCTCTGCTTAAAAATCTTCAAGGAAGGAGAGGCCAGCACCTGCCAAGGGAGTCTGTACCTTGGGGCGACTAATCCAACCAACATAGAATAGAATAGAATAGAAATAGAAATACTTTATTGTCACTGTGGCGCTGTGGGTTAAACCACAGAGCCTAGGACTTGCCGATCAGAAGGATCGGTGGTTCGAATCCCCGCGACGTGGTGAGCTCCTATTGCTCAGTCCCTGCTCCTGCCAACCTAGCAGTTCGAAAGCACATCAAAGTGCAAGTAGATAAATAGGTACCGCTCTGGCAGGAAGGTAAATGGCGTTTCCATGCGCTGCTCTGGTTCGCCAGAAGCGGCTTAGTCCTGCTGGCCACATGACCCGGAAAAATTGTCTGCAGAGCGGACAAACGCTGGCTCCCTTGGCCTGTAATGCGAGATGAGCACGCAACCCCAGAGTTGGTCATGACTGGACCTAATGGTCAGGGGTCCCTTTACCTTAAGGGACGCAGGTGGCGCTGTGGGTTAAACCCCTGAGTCTCTTGGGCTTGCCGATCAGAAGGTTGGCGGTTCGAATCCCCGCAACGGGGTGAGCTCCCGTTGCTCGGTCCCTGCTCCTGCCAACCTAGCAGTTCCAAAGCACCTCAAACTGCAAGTAGATAAATAGGTACCACTCTGGCGGGAAGGTAAACGGCGTTTCCGTGCGCTGCTCTGGTTTGCCAGAAGCGGCTTACTCATGCTGGCCACATGACCCAGAAGCTGTACGCTGGCTCCCTCTGGCCTATAGAGCGAGATGAGCGCCGCAACCCCAGAGTCGGCCACGACTGGACCTAATAGTCAGGGGTCCCTTTACCTTTACCACCTGTTTACAGTGAGATTAAACGAGCCCCCCTCCCCCCACAATCTCTCAGTCCTTGTTACACTCTGTGTGTTGGTGCGGCTTATCATGCTTCTATATCTCTTGCCCAAGGAGATAATCTGAAACAGTCAGAATATCCGGGATCACTGTCCTACGTTGATATTTACTTACTACTTCGGCACCATGAATGCCTAAAAAAAGTTTTACCGCTTAGCCCACAGGATAGCATCTATTGCTTCTTTCAACCATAGACTTATTATACTTCTACGGACTTTCAAAGATTGACAGATGTGTGTTCATTTGATTTCAATATTAGAGAATTTACAAGTGTACACATTTTGTTTTGTTGTACTAAATCATGTATATTGTCCCAGGAAACCCTCCCCCCCGCCAATCATTCAGTTTGTACAAACTCCACACACACACACACACACACACACACGACATGCGCTACGCTACGCTTCTGTTATAAATTCATAAAAAAATCAACCATACATCGGATCTGCACCGTTCCACTTTTATTTTACTCCGTGAAGGAAGGACTACAAAATGGGGAAGGTTTGATACAGGCCAGCCATAATCCCTTCAGCATACCAGCACATCCACAGGAGTCCTGCCCAGTTGCTATGCCAACCCTGATGGTCCTAGACAGAAGACCATCAAGATCACAAAGAACTTGCATATGAGAGTGGATTCAGCACGGACTGGAACAAAGGACAATGATCAGCTCTTCCCTCTGGGGGCAGGAAACTGCAAACTTCCCTTTGTCTCCTGGAAAGTACTCATGGGGAGGGGGAAAGGGGAACCAGCCAGGTGACAGGACACTCAGGTTACCTCCACAACTCCTCCCTCAACCCCTCCTTTTTGTGATGTAGTTGTGATGTAGACACTGACAAACTGGAACGTGTCCAGAGGAGGGCAACCAAAATGGTCAAAGGCCTGGAAACGATGCCTTATGAGGAACGGCTAAGGGAGCTGGGCATGTTTAGCCTGGAGAAGAGGAGGTTAAGGGGTGATATGATAGCCATGTTCAAATATATAAAAGGATGTCACATAGAGCAGTGTTTCCCAACCGGTGTTCCGCGGCACACTAGTGTGCCGCCGGACGTTGCCTAGTGTGCCGTGGGAGTAGTGGCGTAGCGTGGGGGGTGCCAGGGGTGCCAGTCGCACCGGGCGCAACATCTGCGGGGGGCGCGAGTCCAGAGGGAAGGGACAAGTTCCTTCCTCCGCCGGGCTCCCCGCCGCCACCGCCAGCCTTGCGCCCTAGCGCGCGTGCGCCCCCCGCCGCCGCTGCGGCTGCGCTCCACTCACTGCTCGCAGGAGGAGCAGCCACTGCAGCAGCGCTGACACCGCCACCGACGCCTGGCCGGGCACGGGCAGCCTCCGCACGCCGACGCCATCCCCTTCCCCCTTTTTTTCCAGAGCTGGGGGAGGGGGAGGTTTTAAAAGGGGGTCTTGCATTGGCGATCCTGCAGCACTTTGGGCCGCACGACGCGAGCGCGCAGCACGGATCAGCCACGACCCCACCCCGTGCATTTCCCGGGGAAAAGTGCTCCACGTGGGAGGCGCGTTTCCCCTTCATTCCCTCTCGTGCAAATCCTCCTTGGGTTCCCTCCCCCGTCTTTCCTCTCCCTACCTCACAAAAGCCTCACCTCGTCGCCTCCTCGCTGCCTCTCGCCTCCGCAGGAGCGTTTCCCTCCGCGGAAGAAGGAGCAGGGCGCTTTTGCAACTTTGCCTTCCCCGCCCCACCACGGAGCACATTTTCCTCGCCCCCCCAACCCCCGCATGTAGAATAGAAGCCCTCCAGCCTCCACGGTGCACAAACTCTCCCCTCTGCAACGAAGCGCTTTGTTGCATATCTTTGGTGAGGTTTTTAGGCAGTCTTGGTGCACCTTAAATCAGCGCTAATTGCGCCTGGACGCAGTATTTACTTCTGAGTAGGCCCCCTTCTCCCCCCCCCCCCGTAGCACCTGACGTTGCTATTCGTATCATCAGGTTTGTTTGTTGATAATTTAATTGTTTTAAAAGCATCATGCTAAAGAGCTCTCTCCCACCCCCAGACCCTTGGGCAAAACAGAAACACACACATACACAAACACAGAGATTGAGCCCTGCAGGTTTTATGAAATGAATGGATTCTGAATGCCTGTTTCAGTGGCTTGTCCGCCTTAGGCTGCTGGGCCAGACACCTGTTACACGGTGCAGTCCGTAAGCTGTGAGCGCTGCTACCTGCCGCCGAGACCACGTAACGACAGTCTTGAAAGACCTACATTGGCTCCCCAGTACCTTTCCGAGCACAATTCAAAGTGTTGGTGCTGACCTTTAAAGCCCTAAGCGGTTTCGGTCCAGTATACCTGAAGTAGCGTCTCCGCCACCATCGTTCAGCCCAGACACTGAGATCCAGTGCCAAGGGCCTTCTGGCAATTCCCTCACTGTGAAAAGTGAGGTTACAGGGAACCAGGCAGAGGGCCTTCTCGGTAGTGGCGCCCGCCCTGTGGAATGCCCTCCCATCAGACATCAAAGAGATAACCATTACCTTCTATGCTGTTACTATTTTTTTATTTTTTTTTACGTAAGTAAAAAGTGACCTTTCCCCATCTGGCATGGTGGTGTGCCTCGAGATTTTTTTCATGAAACAAGTGTGCCTTTGCCCAAAAAAGGTTGGGAAACACTGACATAGAGGGAGGGAGAAAGGTTGCTTTCTGCTGCCTCCAGAGAAGCGGACCACGGAGCAATGGATCCAAACTACAAGAAGAAAGATTCCACCTAAACATTAGGAAGAACTTCCTGACAGTAAGAGCTGTTGACAGTGGAAATTTG